ATCCCATTCTAGCACTGAAGATGTTACCTACCCGGGTAATGAAACGTTTGCAAGAAAACAACCAAGCTCAGAGAACCCCAAGGACGCCACGATTTCACCAAAATCTAGTGAAATCAAGGTGACTCTGATCTCTGTACTTTGGAATGCTTTTCTTCCTGAAATTCAAGCAGCCACTTCCCTCCTGGCACTGTGTAAACTATTAAAACAACATGACTCCAACAAGCTTTTAACCAGGACTAAGGGTTTCTAGTGACCCTTTGAGGATTTCTAGGCACCTGGTGACTTTGGACCAATTTCATTTATCCCCACTTTTTCCTTTTGGCCTTCAGTAAATGCTTTTGCCACTCCAGTGACACTCCAGTAGGAAAATGTTTTGTCCAGAATTACATTTATTTATTTATTTATTTAGTTTAACGAAAGGCCAGGATGATATCCCACTTGGCTAGAGGAACCTTCCTTCAAAGGACCACTCCCATCCTTCTGCATTTCAAGTGTGCCTAGAAGCTTTGGTCTCTCTTGTTTGAGTCCAGCGATTTCTGAAAACCAGGAGTCAGAACTGCCTAAAGTCGCTCCCTACCAAGCATAGCTATCTCCAAATGAGTCAGTAAAATAGAGAAATTATTTGTCACAGAATGCATTTAACCTGACTTGCCTATAGCCATTGCCTACAAAGGTCCATAAATATCTCAGGAAAGAGGATGTTATTGCTATCATAGACAAACTGTAACAATATAAATAAAGTCCCATTCTGTTGTAGCTGGGTTTCATTTTCTACAGTTTCCTCTTTATTATTATTAGCTTTTTAGCCTCCTGGTAAAATCAAACCTATGGGACCCCCATCAAATGAAAGAAAAATGGCAGCAACTAGTCTTTGGATTAGAAGGGAACCTCTGTTTATTGTTTCACACTGAAACAACATGCAACAGGGCATTGTGATTATTTTTACCTTGTGCTACTGCTTTGCTATTATTTTCTTCTTTTAATAAAGACAACTAGTCAATCTCGGCAGACTGATTTACCCTCTTTCTCTCTGGTCATTTTTCTAATAATTTTTTCCCCCACAGTGGGAATGATAGAGGCCCCATAAATGTTTGCATGGATTAAAAAGCAGTTTGCAGGGTGAATTTTAAGACAGAAAATGGCCATTCAATAGTGTGTGAAACTCCTATTTCAGACAATAGCATTTCATTCGATACTTCTTGAAAGGCTTCTAAAAATCATTTCACACCTTCTACTTTCAGAAGAAAAAATGCAAATGCCTCTGTTCTGTAAGAAACTAGTTAAAGCTTCCCAACAGAATAAATACCTATCAGGATTTTGTTATCTCTTGTTTAGAAATACAGTAAACCCCCAGTTTAAACAGACTATTCAGAAGGAAGAAGTGTACATTAACATGAATGTCCATTAAATCCATGGTTGATGTAAATTGTCTGTACTGTTTTGGATACAATGCAATTATTCATTATTTTGACTTGATGTCTAGGGGAAAAGTCTTTCTATTATATTTGAAGTTTGCTAAGCCAAGTTATTTTTAAATCAAGGATGTGGTGTGTATAGAAAATATTATATTGTGGTAAGAATTGCAATGAATTTGGCATCTTAAAGACTTGTTAAACTGACTGTAGAAATGCAGCTGTGTGGCAGAAGCAGCATCTGGCCTGACTCAATCAAGTTTATTTACATAGACTGGAGATATAAGTAATATATGTATGTGATTAATCTAAATAAAAAAACACACACACCCCCGCAAAATTTCTAAAATTTACCATCACTCAGGAGATGTATTAATAAACAGAATCTAGGACTACACAGTAGCTTTCTTCCCATCTCTCCCCCAATTAAAATAATCAGTCTGGGCAACCGAAGTAGTTTTGGTGTTTTATCTTGGTCGGAAATGAAAGTGAAATGGACCATGATCATTGGCTTCTTCCAAACATATCTGTACATCCAACTACAGATGTGCTTGGAAAAAGTGAGCAATCAAGATCTATTTCAGTTTAGTTTCAGGTCTAAATAAAAGTTGAATCCTCGAAACTCAAGGAGAACACCTTCTTTCCAGATAATGGGCATAACTCTTTACTTAAATCAGAAGCCAAAGGATTCAAATCTTGGCTGGATTGCAATATATGTGAAGTCTATTTTTCAAAATGATCGGAAAAATCTATTCATATAAAATACAGTTACCTGGATTTTGAACATACAAGAGTACTAGACTCTATTTCATTAGAGTTCAGACAATTCTATTGGATGCCTGCCTGCTTCTAACCAGAGAAGAGTTTTTCAGCTGTGATGACTCAGATATTAAATCAACTCCTGGGAAGCTTTGCCCAACACTTTCCTTCAAGCAAAATAATGTGTATTCTTGGAAATGTTTATTTTTATTTCAGCATCTAACTCGTCTTCCTTCCTGCATGGAATGTTAAGCATTTCTAATTCTCACCAATACTTTCTCTTTTATCTGCCAACTGTTTTAGTGTGTTTTCACCCTATGATATTTTATTTTTGTAAACCAATTTTGATTTAACAAATGGATTAAAAGAGAAAGTGGGAGAGATACTAGAATAATGCATACAGTTGCTTTATGCTTTACTCACCTTTACTTAGAGTTGTTGATGCTATTGTTCCAGATACAGCTAAGTTATTATTGGCATTACCTACTGAAGATTTATCTTCATTCAGTGAAATCTGAACATTTTCCTTGGATTCGATGGTACCGCTTTCCACTGTTTCATTACAGTCTGTCAACAGGCAATCAGTATCTGCAGAGTCACCAGAGGCAGCTGGAGGTTGATAGTCCACGTCTCCTTGAGCAGAAGAGCTGTTAATGAAGTCAAGCCATGACTGTCTCTCTGAATGCAATAGGTTGCACAGTGAGGAAGAAGAAGACCCTTGGGATTTCATCGTACTGCTGTCTGGGGAAGACAAGGAATGTGGTACTTCACTTAATACATGTGGTGTTGAGGAAAGCTCTTGTTGGGCCTGTTTTCCAGAATAAATAAAAAGAAATAAAAGAGAAAAGATCATTATTGCCAAGAATCAACAAGTTCATTATCATACAGCTCCTTGTGGAGCTAGTTGGCTGGAACTTTGGACTATTCTCATTTCTGAGGGACTGGTTCTCATCTTTGAGGGCCTTGAGGGTCCTTCTGGAGATAGCTGTAGTCTGTTGTCTCAACTGGGCTACCCCCCTGCAGCAGTTTTGAGACAGAAAACACATGAAAACTACAATGTAAATCCTGGACTAGGCTTAACACATTTTAAAAACAAAGAAAAATAAAACCTCATCCCTAGAAAATGAACAAAAACATCCAGCCTCACTTACATGTCTGATATGGCTCCATGCACTTTGACCCAGAAAGACCTTCATTTTCCTGCTCCCTTGTTAAGAGTGAGCCCTATCCGTGACTGCCATTGCTTTACACTTTGTTGACCTTCATTATTAGAGGGTATACTGAAGTTTGGGTCCAGAGTTTCCACAGGAAGTGCTCTGCTCATGGGAAACATGATTTTTATTGGTACATCTTTCCCATGCAAAATCTGTTCTGAAGGCTGGAGGATCTCTCAGAATGGTGTGGGAATGGTGGTTGGGTAAAAGGAGAACCAGGCAAGAATCACATCTTCCTCTGGTAGGAAGGTCTTCTGAAGTACAGACTTTTTCCATCATAAAATGGAAATATGTGTTTAATTAGATGTACTTTTCTTTATGACCACTTTGCATATACAAGCATACATGTGTGTATGTATGCACACATATATATGTGTGCATGTATGTGCATGTGAATATGCACATGCACCTGTGGTCTGCCAGAGAATTGAATTGGATGGGAGGCAGTTGGAAATGATTATCTTACTAAAACAGCAGAAAAACTTATCTTACTAAAACAGCAGAAAAATATTAGAAGAAAATACTGGTGATAGTGTGGCCCTCTCTTCTAATAACATAATACCTTATTTGATATTTGCAAACTTGACAGAACTGAAACCTGTACGAGCCAGGCGTCTCTTCACCCCCCAGCCAAAAGACATTAATTATATGTAAAATACCTCACTAGTGAATATTTAGAAGTCGTAGTTTGGGGATATCAGCTATAAACTGAGCTGTCGGACTAAGATGAAACCATTATTCAGGATAAACACTGAGGCTACTCAAATCATTTTAATCCTCAAAGCTTTCAGTAGAGTCTGTATGCCATAGGTCTGCAGTCTCAGATACATTAGGTTTATTTTTAAAAAGCCATTGAGATTTCAAACAACATTTCTCTCTCGCTGGAACTAGAATAATCATGTGCAGAGTCCAGAAGATGATCTTTTGAAAGGCTTGTTCTCTAACTCAGGAATAAGAACCCTAGCTGTCTGCAGTGCTTTGGGTAAGTTCTTTATACTAATGGTAGCTAAATTATTCTTTGCTCAGGGCCTCTTTCTTCTGTCACGTACCCCCATAAACTGGCTGGAGAATTCAGGGAGTTAAAGTCCACACATCTTAAATGAGGTTGAGTAACACTGCCATACCCAATACTGCAACAGGGTCTTAATGAAGAGATTCAGGCCCATTCCCCAAGTCTTTGCACGTTCATTTTGGATGCTAAAGGGCTGGATGTCTTCTCCAGAAGAAGCACAACCCAAACAGATTTATTGTATTTCCTTGGTAGCTGGCGAATGGTAGAAACTGCCTCCTCCAGCCTCCTGGTTCCCAGCATCTCTTGTCTCCTCTTCAAATGAAGATGCCATTTTTCTGTTACTTTCCTGCTACTCTGAGGGGTGGGCTGTATCATATCCCAGTCCCTAATGTGACCGTCTGTTTTTGTCTTTTTCTTCCCCAAGGAAAGAAAACATGATGAAGGAAGAGCAGGGAAAGAGAGCTGCCCTTGCTAATGGCTCTCTTAAATACTCCTCCATGGACCAGCTGAAAAGAAGATCAGCAGGAGCGGGGACACTCAAGCACAACAGAAAAACATCAACGCTCCATGTTACTGGAGTGGGGGAAGCAAAGCAAAATCAGAAGCTTTGTGAAAGAGAATTCAGTGTGGTGTGAGGCTTACATTCTGGAGCGGACATGGGAGAGTGAAGGCCTTAGGACATGGGCATTGCAGTCCAGGAAATCCATTATGTGCACCTGGCCTTTTCTTTCTTTCTTTCTTTCTTTCTTTCTTTCTTTCTTTCTTTCTTTCTTTCTTTCTTTCTTTCTTTCTTTCTTTCTTTCTTTCTTTTAATTCTTTGATAAATAAATCAAACAGATGTAAGGCAAGAGGACTACGGTGTGCCTGTGTGAAGGCCCTTTAAACCTTTCCACTCAATTCCTTGCAAGGGTTTTTTAAAAAGTCAACAGGGCAGCCCTGACTTGTGACCAAAGCTCCACCTTTTCTTATGTACAGTGCTTCGATTGCACCATCATGAGCACCATCTTGACTTTTTAATGCATTTTAATATTATAAACTGCCTGGAGGAGGACTGCATGACAGGTGGTATAAAATGTTTTAAATAAATGATTCTGTAAAAGAAAAAGAAAAAACCCTAGTGATTTGCTTTACATTTATTTTGTCACATGACTGATTTTAAATGGAATAAACAATTCACAACTCTTTCTACAGATTGCTTATCTTCTAAACTGTACAGGGTGACATTTGGACAAGCCATTTAGCAAATGGAAGCAAGTTAATTACTATAATTCATACCAAATCAGACAGCAGCAACTGATCTGAATATGGAGGGGGTGGTGTTTCTGCATTTATTTCTGGATCTTCATGCTCACTTTCACTATAGCATTCTGAAACAAGATTGTAACCATTAAAAGTGTGGCAGACATTCTATTTAATCCCCTGTAAAATAAAGCATATTTTCATGGTGACTTTAACTGAAAGCAGAACATACTGGTTTCTGGCCCATTCATGCAGAAAGGGAAATCTGAATGCAAACTACAGATATATATAAATATAAATATAAATATAAATATAAATATAAATATAAATATAAATATAAATATAAATATAAATATAAATATAAATATATAGCCTTTCCTAAACAGCAACTTCTTGGGATTTTTTTTCC